GAGAACTGGAATATGATAGATCCTGTGTGAAGTATATTCATCGTTTACAAAAAGGCAGACAGTTCAAAGGCATCGCGTCTACTGGTCAGCTAGTAAAGTTAATGTGCTTTCACAAGTGAAGATTCAAAGGGTAACACCTACCTATCATATGTAGGTTTCAACTATTGGACCATAACATTTTTTTTTTTTTTTTGTTAATTTCATTCAAGTGGGGGATTGTTGGAAATATTGAATAAAATCTGTAACTGAAGCATTGTTTTTGAAACCGTGTATTCCTCTTTGGGTAAGTCATTTTTCCCAACCTGTATTATACGTGCTTTTGGGATTTTCAACTTAACGTACTTTTTTTTGTAAAATGCAGCATGAACTACATATACAATTATTTGCACGCTCAACTACTTTTTGATCGTCCGATCATCTGCAAAAAAAGACACGTGGAAGGTCAATATGTGGTCGAGCGTGCAAATAGTGACTGTATATGTAGTTCAGGTTGCATTTTACTACAAAAAAAAATACTTTAAGTTGAAAATCTCAAATGCATGTATAGTACAGGTTGGAAAAAATTATTTGCCCTCCCTCTTTTAAGAAGAAAAAAAAAACACTTAGTAACTTGGTTTGTTAATGTTGGAACATTGTTAAACTTAAAATTATTAATGATGAATTAAATGTATTAGTTACTTTATCTTAGTACTATAAATAGGGCGATCTTCTTTGAAGAGAAAGACACGAAATGAAGAAAGAAGAAAAGAAAATACAATATTCATAATGGCTTCCTCTAATTTTTTAGTGTTTTGGTCCAGTCATAGTTTCAGTTCACCGAATTTTATTCCTATGAAAGAGACGCTCATACGGGGCGAATTTTTTTTAAGACACTGTGTTCTCACATGTGTAACGCCCCACTTTTATTTGACGAAAGTCAAGGATTTTTCAAAAAGTCAACTTAATTTTAATTTTTTCAATATTTTCATAAATCGGTGGCGCTACTTAACATAAATAACGTAAATCATAAATCCAATGTTTTCATAAATCTTTAGTTTATCCAAATTATTCATAAGGAAACATCTCCAAATTCAAAGTTCTCCAAATCCCAAAGTCATAAATGCATAAATATAACCAATGTTTGTAAATAACGACAATATTCCAAGTTTCATAAATGTAAGCGGAAGCTACTATATTAGGTTAGGTCAACGACCGACCACCACTCGTCCTTGCCTCGACATCCGACATCCGCTTAACCTGCATCCATGAAGAGCAGGTGGGAGTGAGCACGGTAAACTGTAGTGCTCACTACTATGCACATGAACAATAATAAAGTACGAGAAATTAAATGGCATGGTCGCAGTATGAACATAGTCAATAAATATCCCATCTCCTAGCCAAAGTAATTCTCATGTGCACACCTATAACAATAGACTGTTGCTCGTATGCCTTTCGGTGAACATAAATGGGGTGCCCAAACAGCAGGAGGCTCAACCATCACAGCACGCACCTAGTGCTTGGACAGGATATCCATCACCGGCCAGGGCACATTGCCAAGGTCTTACAGACGACGTGGTCCCTAGCAAAGGACAAACGTTGAGATTACCCTTGCGGGGTACGTTCTATAGATACGGGGATAACCATTCGACGGCCAGTACAGCTCACATCGAAGATTACATGCTCACATGCATACATTGATCATACCCACATAAATAAAGCAATTATCATTCAAGGCATAGACAAATTTTGAATAACCCACCTGGAAATTGCGGTAAAATATTGCACACAAAAGCAAGTACGTAGGTCGAGGGCTCGACTCCTCAAACACCTACATTTAAGCGAGATAATACATCAATAATCTATCTCACTACTCGAAATTAACATAAAACCCATACTTAACCAAAATTAAGACTTAAGGGTTTTAATCGAATTTTTGTGGACTTGGAACTCTGTCATTTTTTAAAAATATGACTCGGGGAACCAAAATTTGAGTCTTGGGACTTAAAATAGTTTTTTCAAATTTTTTTTCTCATTTTAAAAAAAATAGGATTGACACAAAAAACGGGCATCCAGAACTCAAAATAGGCCAAAAACTAATCCTGGGTCGCGATGGAAAATCAGCCGCGAAATTGGGCCTGGAGAGCACAAAAATTGGGCCACAAAGGAGGCTGGAGATGTTAAATGGTCTTTGGCCCGACGGGCCGGCCCGTTTAGCCCGAAAAAAAATAGGGTTAGGTCCTTTTCTTAGTAGCCCGTTTAAATCAGGGCTTTTTCGGCCCGGACCGTTTAGCCCGAAGCCCGCTAGGGCTAGCCCGAAACCCGCTAGGACTGGCCTGTTTAACCAGGGTTGAGCGGTGTAAATGTTTGCATCAAGTAAGTAATATGCTCATAGATTCCTTGTACATTACAATTTTGGTATTCCACTTCACATATAAGTATGGGTGTAATGGATTATTATGATTTTGAAAGATAATTATTAACAATATTGTTATACTTCATACCGAAATATTTAAACCAATCAGAATGACTAATAGGAAACACATGAAAGATAGTGATAGACGGTAAATACTAAATAGCCGTTGGAAATAATTTTTAACTATCCATTATTATTTTTTTATACTTTTTACTCTATTTATTTTTGGTTTATTATTACTATAATAATAATAATAATAATAATAATAATAATAATAATAATAATAATAATAAATATATTATTATTATTATTATTATTATTATTATTATTATTATTATTATTATTATTATTATTATAGCCCGCTAGCCCGTTTAGCCCGAAGCCCGCTAGGGTTAGGGTTAGGTCCCTTTTTTGGTAGCTCGTTAAAATCCGAGCTTTTTAGGCCCCGACCGTTTAACCCGAAGCTCGTTAGGGCTAGCCCGAAACCGCTAGGACTAGCCCGTTTAACATCTCTAGGGCTAACCCAATACTAATTAAACCTCAAAGCACGCAGGCCTCCATTGGGCCGGGGCGCAGGCTCAATGCGGGCCTGAACTGGGCCGACGTATCTCACATAAACGGGTCGCGCGCGGGCTGACATCAGGCCGTATGGCCCGCGCGCCTTTCCTTCATCTCCTGGGCTGACGGGCCGCTGAAATGGGCTAAGGGAATTGGGTTTTTGGGCCTCGCGGACAGAATTAGGCTGGAAGAACAAGGAACAGCAAAATAAAATTGCTAACTCAAGGGACGTGATCGAACACCAGACCTCCCTCAAAGAATTGAGCATAGACACCACTACACCACACGTCTGTTTGCGAATTGTGCAGAAAGAAAGAAATTAAAGTTTCTGGCTGCGAACTGAAAGAAGTAACACAGCAGACTGTACACTGAACAGAATTTTGCTACAACTCCAACGATCAATTCGAACTCGACTAAGGTTCTGCAATTTCTAAAAAATCGAGAATAAACATACTTTTTCAGATTTCAAACATTTATAAAAATCGGGTTTTGTTTGTTCGAAAAATGAAACGACAACAAGCGGTTCGAAAATGAACGAATAACACATCAACGACGGTAAATTAATGCACAAAAACAAGACTCGATAATACAACGAGAGTTCCAACCTTCCACGAATAATTCACGACATATGAAATAAATAACATACGAACTGACAAAATAAACCGAACTCGAAAAACAACGAAACACGTGAACGAAAATAAACGAGCGATATCATCCTGAATCAACAATTTACGAGAAGGTTTCGAAAGGTTACCCGTCTTCAGGATTCTACGAACTCGGTAGGAGAAACAAACAAGGCTAACGGAAATCGAACGGTCCCGACGGAAACTCGAAAGCTCAAAGAATGGCTCGACGGTGAACGGTGTCAGAGCACGACCTGCTTGCCAACGGACGGTTGCTGCTGCTGGAGGCTGCTCGCGGGACTGTCACTGGCGAACAGAGACTAGTCGGAACTTGTCGCATGGGAAGAAACGGACCTGCTGCGGGGATTTGCAGGCTCACAATGCAAGTTACGGCTGAAGGCTGCCTGCTTCGTGTTGTCGTCTACGGCCAAGCTTCTCTGAAAAGGGGAGTTCGCCAGAGGAGATGCGCACAGAACAGGTACGTTTTTTTTTTTTTTTAAAATCGATGAGCAGAGTTACGAATGGAGTGAACTTTTCTGATGAAAGGAGAATGGTCATCGGTTGAGATATAGTAGTCGATGGGCGAACGTGCAAGAAGATTCTCCCAAAATATCGCAAACCGAATTTGAACGAAGAACAAGTCGCTGGGAAGAGACGTTCTCTTCTGCTCACAATAATCACGTGCGGTGAAGAATAGAGAAGTGGGCCAAGAATAATACTCACAATGGGCCAAATAGATTGTATTAAAAATTTGAGCTTGAAGCTACTTAACAAATTGGCTGAAAATTTAATGGCAAGATGGGCCGGAAATAAACTTCCGAGTGGAACAAAAATATTTCCGATAAACGGGCCCGAATATTAAATTCAAAACTCGATTGAGAGTAACGGCTCGATGAGAACAACGCAATAACAAGAATTCAGATCGTTACGTTTGGCGACGAATAAGGAATAGCATAAAGAGACTTATTACATTAATTAAACGACACCTAGCAAAGTAATAATAAGTCTAAACAGAAAATTGTCGAGCATTAATACCATATAGGCAATTAATTAAAAATAAGACGGATATATATATATATATGTATATATATATATATATATATATTACACACAATAATTATTAATATATATCTACATAATCCACACACCATATATATTAATAATAATCATTTAAACAAATAATAATGATGATAATAATAATAATAACAACAATTAGGCAATTAGATATTTAATATAAATAATAATAATAACAACAATTAAGAAACATAAATAATCTCAAATAATTCATACGCAAACAGTACATTACAACATGCCTCAGTATTATATTAAAAAATCATCTTATTTTCATTTTCGCAATAAAGTTCCCTACACGATTGCCCTAGCCTCCTCCATCCGCTCATTCTGTAACTTCAGTCCACATGAACCATTTAACTTTGATGATTGAAAGCCCCCCTATAAGGTAGAATCCTCCCATCCCAAAAACACATAGCAAAGTTGTTGACAGAAAATATGATCTCTTCGTCTGTACGAACATTGAAGCAAACCATTGACAGTAACCCTCTAAGATTAGGGTTGGTCGCAACAACACTTTTTTTACTAACATTAAAAAACAATTATATTAATTGCGGACAATTAATCTGACAACTCTAGCCAATGTACAAGACACTTGAATAACAGCTATTAATTTAGAATGTGTATGAATAAAGGTCTGACAATAAGATCTCAGTAATACATAAGAATTTATTCCATATTATCACAAGCATTTCCATGTAGTTAACTACACCTAACTTGAGAATAAAAATTGACATTTCAAAACATCCCAACATAGCCTAGTCTTTGCTCAAAGTAAGCTCTAATCAAACTAAAACGCTCTCGGATATGCAAATAAAAACTGAAATTAACATTTGAGCAAGTTAATGTTGTTCACCTCCATCGGAATCTTCATTCTCATTAGAGATGTCATGATCTTCACGATCCTGAGCAACAGCCAAATCGCGTATCTCATCATTCCTCCTTTCCATCTATCAGAATATTTCGAGTCAAGCTCTATCCACAATTATACCTTACAATAAGTGTTTTCATATGAGACTAGTTAGTACCTCTTTAGAATTTCCACTGTGTTTACTTATGGATGACACAAGTTTTTCCACTTGAAATCCCTGAATGTCTCCATTTTTAATGCTTGCCTCCAGCTGCCATCACAATAAAATCGTTGTAGTAAAGTGAGCGAAATAAATATCGAGGAACAAAAATAATGAACCTGAATGTGGGCAATGGAGATGAGAATGCTAGCAATTGGCAGCCAGCTCTCCTCGGGAGATATTGATAGGTTTGGCCTAACAAAAAGAGAACGACTCGTAAAAAAATCTTATCATATCGACAGGCACTACAAAGCTAGAATAAACATCAGTATCAATTTTAACATTTCTTTGAAATGTAAGCATGTTGTTATTAATCAATCACCATTTATTTTAAATTTTAAGATACTTCTCGAATTACACCAATCTTCCCTAATGATGTAGTACTGCTAAGCCCATTTCTTTTAATTGCAGTCACTGAAGACCGACTGAGTACAGGTTACAAATGAATAAAACAAATTCACTATAGTAACAGGAAAAGTCGACGTTGAGAAAATCAGACCTCACCTCAAGTAAGGAGCTAAATAGACAATAGCATAAGCAGCATAACGCCGCTTCCCGGTATCCAACCAAGCAAACACCCAACTCTGGATTAAAAAAAAACAAATGTATTAAATCAATAATGAAAAAACCTGAAAAACTTTTTGAAGATTGGGGAAATACCATCCAATTGAAATAAGGAATGAAGCTAATAATTCCCATGACCACAAACCGCGCATCGTCCGAGTCAATCAACGATTCAGCCTCACTGTCTTCTGGTGGAAGAGTCGCCGGAAAAATAAGCGAGTTCAGAATGCAAGCCCCGATCGCTAAAGCCACCGGTGCGTCACCAGAGAACTCAGCTCTGCACTTGCCATCCCTCAACTTCTTCTTCTACACTCCAAACTCAAATAACAAAAAGAATTCACAAGGATTCCAGAAGATACGCATATAAAAGGGAAGTAGGGTAATTAATTACCTGATTGAGTTTTTTCAGTTGGTTATATCTTGTGTGTAGACGTAGAGGTACGATGTAGGGCAGGTAACATGGTTTCAGAGGTGAAGTGAGGGTGAGAGGGATCATCGAATACAGCTGGACAGCAGTATCCAAGGTGATATCACAGGTTTCAAAGTTTAGTAGAGGTTTGAAATCTGTGCAAGCCTATCAATCTGCCATTGAATATTGTAGAAACTAAATGAACATCATCAATATGATCAATTAATATAATATATGCAAAAGAAATTTAGGGGAAAATATATTTTAAATTTATAAATATTTAATTTCGCATAAAGTATGGCAAAATTTTAGAAAGGATACACCATATGTGGGTGTTGGTCAACAAAACAGACACTATGTTGTACATACGAAAAAGATGCATTATTCATCCCATCTAAATAAAATGCTGATATGGACATATAAAGTAATGACGTGACAATGAAATTTTTCCTAGTTTTCTACATGTTGATTATATGGATGCCTCGTTAGTTACTTGTCGATCGAGTTGCTAAATTGGGGGAAGACAAAATCTGACCCCAATCCCTCAGTCAATCAGGAAAGTTAGGTAATATGTTTGAAAGCCCTAGAAATTGTCACTGTCAATTCAAGCTCAATCATTGATTTCAATTATCGAAAATATTTAGGGAGAAGCACGAAGATGTTGGCATCTTCATTTTGTTCTCCTTCTGAAGTTTTTTGTTGTTGATTGAAGGCCCAACTGAGGACTTCGAAGACAAGTTCAAATCCTGGCAAAAGATTCCATGGTTGCAAAAATGGGAAGCAAGGAGGCTGCTATTTTTTTATGTGGGCTAAACCAACATCCCAAAACAACTCAGAAACTTTGACTGGTATGAATAATCAAAATTTGGGTTGTAAGGGTCAAGAATCTTCATTTGTTTTGCACGAGGCTATTTGAAAGTTCGGAAGATGAAGATTACAATGCTTGAAGCTGAGAGGAACACATACAATGGAAAAATTCATTCTAAAATGTAGTTGATGATGGATATAATTAGGAGAATTCAATCGTTTATTCTTGTTGTTTGTACTATTTGTAGTTTGTATAGTTTGTGAATATCAAGTAAATGGCTTAAGGAGAATGAAGAAAACAAAAGTGAAATCAAAGTCGATGCACGTTATAGTTACAGTCTCTTTAAGATTAAATTGTTCCGTAAAATTCTCACTGTTAATGACAAATACCTCCAAGATACAACGACTTTCGACTTCTATAGCGGTATTTCAAATGTACAAGCCTTCGGCGAACATTACTGTGTTGACTGAAACTCTCAACTCAACGAAAAAATTAAAGGCCCAATATTTATTTTGAAGTTTGAAAATGTAATGCAATATGGTATTCTAAAGACCTCCGACCGACTAGATTATGCTTCACTTCGAGCTCCTCGCCAGTTGAACGTTTGCAGACCTGCAAAAACTCTCACACCCGAAGAGTTTTCTAGTGAAGAGCCTCCGATACTTAAGTTAGCATTTTGTAGAAGATGAAGTGTTGTGTGTGTAGATAAATAGAGAATGTCATGTCATATTAGGCATACTTCACTCCTTTATATAGGGAGATGATATTTTGTTGCCCAAGTCAGCCCGAGTAGGCTGCCCAGACTTCCAGTTCGTACTGCCCGAGTTACCCGAATTATCCAATTATGTTATGCCACGTGGCCCTATCCACGTGGGTATTTCTTATTATCTAATCCCAGTAATATTTCTTATTATCCTTTAGTATTTCTTACTAGATGGTCTAACCGTGCGATCACCCTGATTACCACGAGGTAGAGTACTAGATGGTCTAATCGTGGTCAACCATATAAACACATAATCTTTGAGAGGAATGAGACTTAAGCCTCTAGACATGTGGGCCCTACCTTGTCGACTAGAGATGTGGGCCTAGACATGTGGGCCCTACCTTGTCGATGTAGACACGTGGGCCTAGACATGTGGGCCTTACCTTGTCGATGTAGACACGTGGGCCTAGACGTGGGCGCATTCACATGAAAGCCCTACCTTGTCGATGTAGACACGTGGGCCTAGACGTGGGCGCATACAAATGGACGGGCCCGGAGCGAGGGACTCGCGTGAGCTGGACTAGCGAGGGCCTTGCGAGAAGGGGCCTGGCAGGCCGATAGAAAATTTTTTGCCCTCGAGTCTTCGTGATAATTTTGCGATGGCATTCGAACGAAACTCACATACTTCGCAAACGAATAAAGATAAGCAGAAACAAATAGACGCTTAATCTTACTTGCAATCGGGTCTTTCAAAAATAAGGTCACTACCTAACTTAGGATAAATAAGAATTGGCTAAACTTCAAGAGAAGACGAAATTTAAAGCTTTCAAAAATAAGGTCACTACCTAACTTAGGATAAATAAGAATTGGCTAAACTTCAAGAGAAGACGAAATTTAAAGTTGCAAAGCTTGAAAAATTTCTTACACAGTGAGACCAAGGTAGGGGTTTGAACACGGCTATACCTCAATCAAAACGAAAAAAAGAACTAGGTCGATCGTAAACCTCCAGTGTCTATGACTCGCCGCCTATCTCAAGGCTATTGTATTCCCACGAACCGCAACGTTACTCGCTCTATTGAACCTTTCGCATCGAGTTAGAAGTATCACGAAACAAGTTTCACAAGATAACGATCAACAAAAGATTAAAATGTCGATGCTAAATTCCATCTAAATTGATACGCCAGGGAGAGGAAGATAAAGCGAAATTCCCAAAGTACAAAAATTGAATAAAAAATGGAAGTCTCAAGTACAATTCAAAATTGCTTGCCATACAAAAAGGAATTAAGCAAAGGTTTGCAGAAGTTTACAAGAAGATCAAAAATTTCAAAAATGAAGCACGACTGCATCATCTCCAAGAGTCCACGATTCACTGCTTCCATCATCAGTTCAAGTTGTTCCCGATAAGTCCCACTGTCGCTATGAACTCGCTCGCGGCTTAATAGACGGAAGAGAATTTTGATGTCTCTTACAAGACAGAAATGTCACACGAAATTGCGGCATAATATATTCACGCAGTGCTGGATCGGTCTATCCGCCTTAAGAATAAGGTCGGATTCCTTCGTTTGAGAATTTTCGCAAAAGAATAGGTCACTATCGCCTTTCTCGAGGCTTAGCCACTCTCGAGGTGTTACATTTTAAGTTCTCTCACCACTCATCGTGGTCGAACAACAGCGTGGACAAGGCACCCAGACTCTACTTCCAGTCCACATTCGACTGGGTTCTCATACGCATCTAGTGGTCTTATTAATCATGGTTACAGACTTCCGAATGTTCCACACACCTGGAACTTTTTCGGTTGTCTGCTTCTTTCGAGATAGCCCGCAAATGGTCCTCACTCGAGGACACCAAGTTTTATAGCGAGAGCACTGCTATAAACAGGATTCAACTCGATAACATCATATCGAATTTCCAAACAAATTCTCAAGTCGAAATTGAACTCTATACCGCTAGAATTCAAGCTCATACAACTAAGTTCACACTCATCTAGAGTTCAAGGATGCTTAAAGCATAAGGATAAATTCTAAGCCCCGAATTACATCTCATAATATCATAATATTTCACAAAAGTAAAAAAATATTACTCATATATTCATACCTGAGTTGGCGCGGCACGACGAAAGCGAGTGGTCACAACAACATCGTATAATCAAGAAATTCCTAGAGTTCACATAAGTCACGTTCACCAGTCTACAGAAACACAAACACAGACTGGCTCTGATACCAAACTATAACGCCCCACTTTTATTTGCCGAAAATCAGAATAAATATTTTAAATTTAGTTAAAAAACACTTGAGGCAATACTCATTTTCAAAACGATTATCAGTACTTAACAAAATCTCAATACTCATTCAATCACCAATACTTGGTCATTCATCAATACTCATTCATTCATTAATCCTCATTTATCAATATTGAAATCTAAATACTCAAATTTGCAATCCAATAATCATAATATCCTAGGGAGTACACTCCCTATTAATAATCCAATATTCAATAATAAAGAAAACAATAATAGCATTATTCAGTTCAAGGCGGAAGCAATATCAATTAATTAGGCCACCACTCGCATCCCTCCGCCGTGCCCGCAATACTAACCTGCATCCATGACGAGCAGGTGGGGGTGTGCACAAGAGGAAACTGTGGTGCTCACCACTATGCAGTAAATGTTAATCTCAATAATGAACAGTAATCAATAATCAATAAGGTGTGGTCTCAGCATGTATACGAAGCAATAATCTATCTCATTTTTCCATCAATAATCACAATAATCAGACTCATGTGAACACCTACGCATAGACTACTGCTGACTATATATCGAATGTCTTCTGGTCCTATATCGAGTGCCAGCCAGTAGGAGGAAACCACCCCACCGGCCAAGGCCTTGCCTTGGTCTTTCCAATGAAGATCACCAGCCGAGGGACCTAAGCCTTGGTCTTGGGGCTCTCAAGGGAGACTACCCAACGGGTACGTTCTATAGCTACGGGGATAACCGTTCGACGGTTGGTACAGCTCACATCGAAGGCTACATGTTTCACATGCATACTTTGATCATACCACAAGTAACAATAATAGCAATAATAACATTTACAGCATAGCGAATTTTTAAATAAGAAGCCACCTGGACTGCAGATGTATGATGAAAGAATGCACGCGAGGTTCTTGACTCCTTTTAATCTACAATTTAATAATTTATAGCCTATTATTAAAGGCGACGACTAACAAGCAAGGACAAGTAAGGTAAAGCAAAGATAATTAAACATACAAGGTAAATAAGGAAATTAGGCAATTATAACTATTAAAGGCAATTAAAGCACATAAATTTCTAACTCTTTGCAACTGGAACTACACACTAAAAATCTCCTAAAACACGACTATTCATAGCAAATAATAGGTACTCAATTCAGGTTCAAAAGTCTCGTGGAGCAACCTTTAATAATTTCATAAAATAAGCCAAATTAGCATACTCAACCGTGATTCCTCCTCTTAAATTACGCCACTTAAGCATGCATTTCACCTCTTTAGAACTGAAATTATACTCAGCAATTAGGCCTTACACTCAGCTCAAAATATCTCTAT